TCTTTCCCTCTGTGCAATCTGCAGGGAAGGGTTGCCCTTAACTCTGTGTGCAGGGTTTGTGGTGCTGGCTGCTTTGGTAATGTGATGGTCTGTCAGTGGTGTCTGTGTGGGACTCTTCACAAGCAGTCTTCAGACATCTGTAAGTAAGCCTGCTGGCTCTAGCTAAACAGACACGCACTAACTAGATATTTTTAGCTAACTAGCATTTTGGACTTGACTCTCCAGCCGTCATCTGGGAAAACCAAAGGAAACCAGCTCGGCACGACTCCACCTGGTTCTGACCCAGGAACAAAAGCATAGATTGGGGAAACGCTCGAAAGGGATTCTGTCTGCTGGCAGTCCAGAATGTTGGACTTCTGCTTTAACCTCCTGTGATCTGTGGAGGCTTGGGCCTTCATCTACCTCTTGATCACCTCAGTACTGTAATTCTCAGTGACCTGAAATTTCCAGTCGCAGCAGCCTGCACTGCAGTCTTCCAGAGCTGCTCTGCCTGTGCCGGTGTCTTCCACCCGTGCCAGGCGCTGCTGGCACATTCAACTTTGTGTCCTTTTGTAAATGCATTTCGCTTGTGTGGGAGTCTAGGCTAAATCTTCCTAGTGATCTCAGCTGAGATTAGCTTCCAGGAGTCTGAAAAGCTAATGTTTGTAGAAAGGCGTGTGATATGGGAAGCTAGGCTGTGGGCTCCTGTGTTTCTGGCCAGGAAAACAGTGGTTTCATGCCCCCACCTTGCCTGATGCTACATCTATTTGGGGATTCAGCGCTTCTATGCGAAGGCTTTGGGCTGGTGTCTTAATACTGCTTTATTTGAGAGAAGTTGTCACTGAGGTTGCTGAGGGATTTAAGCATTTTCTTCTTCTCTACTCCCTGCATCCTTTCCCTGTTAGCTATTATCTTGGGCAAGTTCAGTTTGTTTTGAATCTGAGCCCCACTGTCTGCAGTATGGGGAGAGGACTTACCTTGCTTTAGGATTGCTGAAGGAATAGCTCTTGGAGGTGTTAGAGATCCATAATAAAAGCTCCAATCCCTATGGCCACAAGAATAAAACCTTTGTGACCTTAACCTGTGAGTGCAGTGCCGGAGATCTGAGACCTGTTTTCAATAATTGGAGATACTTTTGAGTAATCAAAGCCAAAAAGTGAGTTCCAAAACGAATTCTTTCTGCCTTACAGCTTCCTGTCCTGAGTCCAATCACTTCATGGCTGTCACAAATGTTCCTTTTCATCCATGTTGCTGCTGCCAGCAAGGGACTCATCAGGAAGTTAAAATACATCTTGTAGCATGTATGTTGCCAAAAAAAATTGAACTTCCTGAATGCTGTGCTGAGCTAAACCTGTGCCCTGCTGCTAAATGTCAGGCTTGGGGAACAAGCGTTGCACTCTCTTCCTTTTTTGGTGATTTGCTACCTCTGGCTCTTGCTTGCCGTTTCCAGTCCACTGAGACCCACTGTGCTCTGAAGCTGTGGTGTGCTGGGAGTGCTCCAAAAGCACAAAGCTTAAACTTGCTATTTGCTGTAGATTAGTCATTCAGCAACAATTCTTCCATTAGCCAGGGGTGTGTGGGGCACCCAGAAGTGAGATTGCTTTGCTCTGTGTAGCTGAGGGAGAAAGTGAAGAGATATTGCTTGAGGGTATAGATTTGGGTTGCTGCTGAAACCTCGCTCGTGTGCGCAGTCTTAGGGAAGTTGACCTGTACCTGCATTACCTGTTTAGTGCAAACAAGACAGTTTTCTTGGGGAAGGTGCAAATGATTCTGTGGACAATCGCTAATGAGAAGAAGCATCTTAACTCCTCTTAGTTGTGGTTGTGGATGCTAATGGGAGAGAGATGAAGGGAAAGTTGCTTGTGAGGAAACTGCCGACAACGGAGTACAGAGCATCCTAGATGTACTTTCTATTTAGAGACAGATTTTAAAGAACACTGTTTCCAGCTAGTTTCTCCTGTTAACGGCAGGAACTATTGTCTCCTTGGCGAGGCAAGCTAGAAGTCTTTTCTGATGCTTCCATCTCGCTTCCTTCCTTACGGGGATAGCCGCTTTGTCTTGTAGCGCGCGATTCGTGCTCACCCTGCCATTCTTTGGGGTTTGAATAGTCTCTGGGTTTGGGCACAGCCTAGGTTTTCTTTTTGCCAAGACTTGCTGGAGGCATGGGCACAGCAGGGATCGTGAGCTTGTAGGGTCTCAATCTGCGACTTCACTGTCACGGGAGTACCACACGTGGGAAACCTGGGCGATTGCTCGAATCTGAAGAGACTGTGCTAGTCGCTGGTTTTGTGAATGAAGAGATTTCAGACCCCCAGGCCTTGTCAGTCTCCAGCCTGACATTCGCACAACTATTTTTCATGCTTGTTGTGTAATCTCAAGTCCGAGTTTTTTATTAGCTTTTTAAATTCTTTAATCAAATTGAATACGTGAGCAACTAACTTCTTCACTTGAAATCTGCTGAGCAGATGGGTTTCAGGCTTGTTTGATAAGCTCTTCTGTTGCACCTCTGACTCAAACAATTCAAAATTAAGCATTGTTTCGATATCGCTTGACCATCGTGGCTGTTCTGGGTTGACAGCACGGCTCTGCATAGCATGGTCAGCTCTGCGGCTAGGTGTGCTTGCAATTGTGTGCCTTTACCCTGCTTGTGGGCAGGAGTTTCCTTTTGAGAGGTACTCGCTGTTACTAGAGTGCAATAACGTTTTGTCCGTACTGCAGAAATCTGAACAGACGTATCTGGGATAGTCACTTTGCCTCAGAAAATGAATGGGAGGGGTGTGAGTGGGAAGGAAACGAATGTAATCCAGATCTGCCTAGCTTGCTTTTGTTCTAGTACTGGTGCATATTGAACGTGTTGGAGGCTGGAACGGGAAATGATGGCAAGGCAGGTGCTCCACACCACGGTGGCTTTATTCCCTTTGGTGATCAGGTTCTGCCTCTGATGCCAACCTTCTTAAAAACCCTTCATGCTGAGGAATTGGTAGTCTTTTCACAAACTGGCAGGCTTTCCCTTTCAGCAGAAAGTGTCCAATGCCACTTGAGACTAAGGAGGCCGCAGCACAGACTGGCAGCTTGAGGTTGCCTCTGGGGCCTGTGTGGTTTGATTCTTGCTAGGATTGTGTAGTTAGAAAGCAGCATCTGCTCCTACCACCCGTTATTTTTTCCACTGGGAAGAGAATTCAAGCATGGAAGAAATTGAACGATTGCAGGACAGAGCAGGAGAGAGCATCACCTGGTGCAGAGCTGGTATCTGCAGCTGGGTAGACTTAGGTCTTGCTCAGGTGATGAGTTTTTTGGGGGGACACGGAGTTGTGAGCAGCTTGAAGGCCAGCACGTGCTTTCATCTTCTCCGAGTTTATGTGGAGGGCCCAGCTCTTTGTGACCTCTGAGGATACATAAATGGCTTACGGGGCCTTTGGGACCTGTGCCTGTGTAATGCTCCTGCAGGAGGGAGTTGCTGGTGCAGGTGGTAGCATTGATCCCAAATCATGGTGCAGCCGGCGGGCAGGATGGCGGCTCTGCAGAACAAAGCATGTCTCCAAAGCCCAGTCTTGCAAACAGTCGTTGAACCGGTGGGCAGTGCCACTGTATGCAGGTTTGCAGGACTGGCGCCTTAAATTATTAAGGCTTTATCCATCTGCAGTTGCCTTCTCCAGTCGAGGTTTTGCTGTGTCGCTGGAAGAGGAGACTCCCAACGCTTGGAGCTTGTCTTCAAGCTGCTGATGAGAGACTCCTGTCCTGGCTTAGACTCGGAACGGCGTTCCCCCATGGCCGTTCTTCCCCAGCCAGGTCAGGAGCTGGTGCTATTGTACCTCCTAGCACTGGTCACACAACATGCCTGTCACTGACCCAGGGGAGCCTTATCATGTTGTAGACTGCTAATGTCAGTCCCAGGTGCTGCTCGCAGAAGAGCCGTTTAGTAGGACGTGGTAACTTGTCTTAGTGCTAATGTAAAGCTGATAAAGTCCTATGTGTAGTCCATTTGCTTTCTGCATTGAAATCAGACCTTCAAATACAGGGTATGGAAACCTGAAGATTATTGACATATTTTTTTTTTCTTAGAGGGAATTCTCCCAACTGATACAGGGGGTTGTCTTCAAAAATTCTGCTCTTATTTTTTTGCCTGAGCCAAAAACATTTGAGAGGACTGGGAGAGCCCCAAATGATGGTTTCTTCAATTAAGAAATGAAAGTTAATACAGTGGACTGCAAACTAATATTAATGTATCTTAAAATCACAATCTGGGGAGAAGAAACTAGACAGTGTTTTTGTGAACTATCTTTGCAGCACTGAGGAAAAATCACAGTAATTGGATTTTTTTGAAGCACAGATGTATAGTCAGTGTACGAATATTTGAAGTTTTATGGCTAACTGTTCAAGTTTTTCCCTTTTTCCTTTGCTCCAACATTTCCATAGCTTGCATATCAGGTTTTCACTACAAGTTAGACTACCAGTTTTTAAAATTTTGTTGTGCCATATTTTATTTATCCTTTTGCTTTATAAACATATGAATACCTATTTAGACTGAATGATGCTATTATTGTGAACTTTAGGGTTTAAACACAAGAAGAAGAAGAAAAAAAAAAAAGGAAATACTCCTCCAGTGTACTTAATGCTTGCGACCCTCTTTCTGAAGAGGTTTCAGAAGGTTTTTTATAGAGTGAAAAAATCAGGTGTTAAA